CTGGGTGACCATGAAGTTTGGGATGCTTCCAAACCGACACACTTTCTCGGAGCTGAGACCCTAGCGACTTGTGGCCCCGTGCACCTCGAATGCATAGGACAAGGTTATCTTGCAGGCCCGTTCTCATTCCTTCTGAATCCAGCAAACCATAGTACTTGGCACTGGGTAAGAGGCTGAAGGCCCTTTCTACCGACCGCTTGCCGGCGAAGAGATCCAGGCAAACCAGGTCCTGTGTTTCATAGCAGTCGGTTTGATATGACACTAGGTTAACACCGAGGCCCAGGCACGAAGTAGGTTTTCCCCGGTTGCATTCTGTGCGATGTAATCAGCAAGGTGTAGCCTGATGCGAGAAAAATAGGTTCGGGATAGGAGAGTTCAGCTTCTATGAAACGAATTTAGGCTTCCCATAATGGTAACCGAGTAACAGAATGCTTGGGAAACCGGCATAAGCCAGAGCAAGCATGCAGTCCCGTGAAAGGGCCACGTCGTTCAGCATCCAATCCAGCATCTTTCTAACACCAAAGCAGAGGAGCACCCGGCTTGAACTGGTATTTCTCAACCAAGGACCAAGGCTCAAGGTGCAGCAAATTGTGTATGAACGATCGGAGCCCACAGCACCACGAAGTAAGCAGGAAGTGTTTAGTTTTGACCCCGTGTGCACTGATCCACTGTGCTAGTGATTGCTGCAAAAATCAGCCGATGAAAACCGGTCTTAAAATTAAATCTAGACCAAGGTCTCAGTCACGAGAGGCACCTGTTGGCTCACCAGTTGCCAGCTAGGCAAGCTGCTTCCCACCTAGGTCCAAAGGCTTACTCTCAACCCCAGCTGCCAGCTGACTCAAATCAGCAACGGTTGCAAAATGCCAAGCACCAGGCGCTTTGTCCAGCGAAGCGAACTTCGTCCAGCCCAGGCTGGCACCGTCCTTTAGATTGACCTTAGTGTGTGCGTGGATTCCGGGTGGGGCAGGTATATAGGTTGCAATCTTGGACCGTAGCTAGGTACCGGGCTTCGAAGGCAGTTCCGTACTTCCGATTCACCATATCCAAGCGTTTTTGCTTGGCATCGTAGATGTAGAAGCACCCAGAATACGGGTTAAACCTGGTCGCTGCCGTGGGACTGAACATATGAATTCACAGGATATGCTGAGGCATGGGCCAAACTCCGATCTTGGATACATCCTTCTTCAGGGCGACAGTCCATGACCTTCAATTCGTGAATTAAGTTGGGAACTCTGGGATGGGATGTGGCTTGATCACTTAGGCTCTCACTTCCTGTTGTTGTCAGAAGACAGCACACCGTGGTCCAGCACCAACCGGGGGTCCTTCTTGGCCAGTGCTTCGAAGCGAGGGCGCCAGAGGCCTTTCACCTCCAGGCATGAGTGCATCATGTTGCACTACTTAATTACGCGCCCTTGGCCAACCTTCGCGAGCTTGCTGTTCGGCTCTGGCGGTTCGGGGCTTTTCTCCGGTGCTTTTTCGGGCTCCTCCTCTTCTTCCTGCTCCTCTTCCTCTGGCTCCTCCTCTTCGCCTGGATCCTCCTCTTCATCCTTCGGGGTCTCCCTGGTCTTTTTGGCGGGTGTTTCCTCGGTCTCCTCGCGGGCTGCTGGTCGTTTCATAGCCTTTTTGCCTTTTCCTCCTCCCTTTCCTTTGCCTCGTCCTCCCCGCCCACGTCCTCTGCCTCTCGGTTTGCCCGGAACGGAGTCGGGGGATCGTGGATCCTCGGACTCCTCGTCTCCTTCCTGCCTTTTTTTCTTCTGTCGAAGCGCTTTCCGTGTCTTGACTTGGGCCTAGCAATGAACTGCTGAAGATTGTAAACCCAATCAATGCTCTGAGCAATCGGACAAGCCAGCCTCCAAAACAAGGTTCGGATCATCTTTCACGCTTTCATTCAGCATCTTCTCGGCTTTGGCTTTCACGGGCTTCGGGATCTTAGGGGACGGCATCTTCTGGTTTTTCTCATCCTTGCAAACAATGTACCCAAGCTACAATACAGTGCGATAGGAAGCGAGCTCAACACAAAGCCGAAGTCCTTGAAGGCCCCTTTTGTTGCATCTTTCTCGGTGTCGCTCTCCAAACCTTCCCCTGGCAAGCACTCATCCTCTTCCTGGGCCTCTTCCTCACCCCCTTCCTCTGCATCGCAGGTCCCTGCGACATCGTCGGCATCTTCCTGGAAGCAACAGCAGCAGCAGCGGCAGCTGGCAGCAGCACCACATAGCATAGGTTACCCTGGTTTGTGCGATATAGTAGCAGGAAAGTTCCTGGGTATTTCAACCAATTATATGGGGGAATGGTTTTTCCGGGGTTTAATATTTATCAAAATACCCTAAACCCTAAACCCTGAACCCTAAACCAAACATTCAGCTAGGCGGGTGGGATAAAACCCGAATTACCTCGGCTGATTGTCTAGCACAGGGCTTCGAGCTTAGGGTTTAAGAGATATTCCATAAAGCATTTTCGGATGGTAGCTTGTATTCAATCCTTAGTGTTCCAAACCGTAAATGCCTCAAAGCCCACAGAACCTAACCGGCA